TAGGGTGTTGTGAGTCGCTGTTGGATGTACCGCCTCTCGCCATGGTAAAGTGCGGGTTCTTCTGTGTTATTTGGGGCGTAGGAAAAGTTTCACCACAGCCCCACAGTGGGCGCCAAAATGTTCCGGCCAAAGGGTGGACTAGGGTTTTTTCCTAGATCGTGCCTTAGAGCCAGAGCATTCAAAAGTGTAATCTGTCTTCTCAACTCTAGGGTTTTGGGTTTTATAGTTTCTTGTTCACGGGCCTTATGGGCCCCGAGAATATAAGGATCTCTTTAGCCGTTCCAATCTGGAAAATACTTGGTGAGTGAAGGTGGGACCTCGCCATTACTGAGTGTCCAATCGGATAATGACCGAGTAAGCCTTTATGGGTGGGAGTCGATCGGTATCTGGCTCTGAGAGGGTGAGTCGGCCAAGGTTACAGTCGGGTGAGTTGGCCAAGGTTACAGTCGGGTGAGTCGGCCAAGGTTACAGTCGGGTGAGTCGACAAAGATTATAGTCGGGTGAGTCGGCCAAGGTTACAGTCGGGTGAGTCGGCCAAGGTTACAGTCGAGTGAGTCGGTCAAGGTTACAGTCGGGTGATCACAGGAGGGGAGATCAGGTCGTGAATTGGCCTGGGCAGTGCACGGGTTTATAATCGGCCTCACACATGTAAGAGATACCAATCGGCCAACGACCGAGACGGTCCAAATTTCATCAAAGTAAAATGCTTAAAAACACTCTCATTAAAGAAAAGACTCTGAAAATACTTTTATACAAAATAACTATTAATATTTAATATAAAAAAATCAACTTAATTATGAAATTGATAGTTTACTCGTTAAATGAATGTTAGAGGAAGAATATTTACCAGAATAATACGAACGGTTTTGGTGACGGACCTTTATTGAGACTGTCCTAGATCACTTTATTTTAATTGTTCCATTAAAACTTGTTTTAGTATTTTATCAAAATTCTAATTCCATTTGTCTAGCCGTGTGACACTGAACTTAAAGAAAGGAGAAAAAATGAAAAGAAAAAAGTTTTATTATGTTATCTTCGTATGCATTGCTGCTTTACGAATTAAGCATCATAAAAAGTAAGGAGAAAAAAAGAAAAAGAAAAAAGTAGAAAAAAAATAATAAATTAATATTTAAAATTTAACCATTAACATGGTTAGGTAATTCTTACACCCAACCCATGCTTGGATGCTGCTGACTTATCATTTGGTGGAATTGGTATTATGTTATCTTCGTATGCATGCTTCATTGCTGCTTTATGAATTAAGCATCGTAAAATGTAAGGAGATAAAAGAAAAGAAAACAGTAGAAAAAAATAAACTATCAATACCTAACCATATACATGGTTAGGTAATTCTTACACCCAACCCATGCTTGGATGCTAACTTATCATATGGTGGAATTCGTATTATGTTATCTCCGTATGCATGCTTCATTGCTGCTTTACAAATTAAGCATCATAAAATGTAAGGAGATACAAAAAAAATGAAGGAAAAAAAAAAAAAAAAAAAAAAAAAATTATTAATATTTAACCAGAAACATGGTTAGGTAATTGCAACCCATGCTTGGATGCTGACTTATGATATGGCAGAATTGGTTAAAGTTTATATTGTTTTTGAGAAAAAAAACTGATGCAAATTAGAATAATTAAATCAAATAAATTATTAAGATAGTATATATATATATATAATTTGAGAATTAAAATAGATGATTAAAAACTTAGATTTAATTCTCGTTGAGTTCATAAGAATCTTTTTCACAGTAAATGCATCATTATATTTGGACTATTAAACATGTTATAGTTACATGTTTAGTTTTTATGACAAATATGATTCCTTCATAACGTGGAAAAGGAATAAAAAAAAACCATTCCATCCTTATTGTCACCGATCATAAATAACAAATAAATAAATAAATAAATAAATAAAATGAGGAGCTTACAAGCTCGCTATTGAGTGTTCAGATTGAAATGGTTTTATAAATAGAAATTAAAGTCACATCAATCTCAATTCAAAAAGCAACAATTACAAATTAGAGAAAGATCCAAAGTAGAATGTCCTTATCACTATGTTTGAGTGTAGTTGGAAGAAACAAAATAACGTGATGAATATTCATGGAGAGAAATAGAATAGTAATAATAGCATTTCAATTTTTGAATAATGAAGAAAATAAAGGGATTTAGAACGACGGAAACTTAAAAAAAAAAAAAAAAAAAGAGAAGAGACGAAGAAGCAAATATTATATATATAGAGAGAGAGATGAAGAAGCAAATACTATATATATATATATATATATATATATATCATTGCACCCATTTCGCGACCGAAATTTTCGGCCGCTAAACAGTGACTGAAAATTTTTCCATCATTAAACAGTTTTGCGACCAGGGTTTTAGCGACTGCTTAAATTCGGTCATTAATTCTATTTGTGAGACCCCTTTCCCCTTTTCTTTCTTTCCCGAACTCTTTTTCACTCTCTACTCACTCAAACTCTCTCATTTCTCAACTCTCACTCACTTTGCCTTGGGTTCCTGGTGCATTTCTCTGATTGTGGTGGCTGTGGTGTTTTAGGTGCGGATTGTGGTGTTGGAAGCTAGTGAAGTCTCCTTCTCCGTTCTGATTCTCCACTCGTTCTTCTTCTCCATTTCTTCTCCGTTGAGCTTGTCTCCTTCCCGGAAGCTCGGATCTTCGTACCTAGGTAACGGAAGCTAGTTTTTGACTGTGTTGTGTGGAAATTGAGGGTGGAAACTCCTTCGTGGGCTGATGAGTTGATGATTTTGGGTTGAGATTGAAGAAAATTCGTTTTCGGGTTTTCTGGGGTTTGGGTGAAAATTTGGGGTTTTTATTGATTTGTGGTTGCATGTGTTAAAAGATGATGTTTTTGAGCTGGTTGGAGAAAATGTGGCATTTTGGTTGGTTTGCATGTGTTGGAAATGAGGATTTCTGCAGGTTTTGGGCAAGATTTTCGAACTTGGTGAGTTGCTGCTGGGTATCACGCCGGGCACCTTTCTTCGTGCCGTGCGCGTGACCATCAGAGGGCTCCATTTGGGCAAGTCCGCCGGGCGCAAAGGTGTGTGCGCCGGACGAGCTTGAGAATGTGAGATTCTAGATGGCCCACGCCGGGCGTGACTTGGACCGCGCCGGGCACGCTATCAATAAGTGACGTGATTTGGGTTTTCTGGTGCTGCGCCGGGGGCGACCATGTCGCGCTGGGCGTGGAGATTCCTTGGGAGTCTCTGCCAACGGGGCGATGGGCGCAATTGGAATTGCACCGGGCACGAGACATTGGGGAGGTCTCTGCCTTCCCTGCACCGGGCGCGGGTTTAGGCACGCCGGGCGCGTGAGACTCCTTAGAGTCTCTGCCTGGGTTGCGCTGGGCGCAATTGGTATTGTGCCAGGCGCGTGTGAGCCTTGGGCTTTCTGGCTAGGTCACGTTGGGCGCGGAAACTCTTGCGCCAGGCGCGCTGGCCCCTGGTGCTCTCTGGTTGTGCAGCGCCGAGCGCGACTAGGAGTGCATCGGGCGCGGAGGTGATGTTTAACTATATGTTGTTAGATGTTGTGAAATGCTGATAAATGTTATTTTATGCTGAGCTGAGCTGTAATTGATGGATATGCTATGCTGACTAGTTGATAATGCTGAATTATGATGTTGAGTTGTGTTTGAGGTATATTGCTGAGCTGTGTTGTGCTGTGAGTTGTCATTGTTGTTAAGCTATGTTGTGCTGAATGTTATTTATGTTGATGTATGCTGTTATAGCCGCTAAGTCAGTGCTGTTATAGCCACTAAGTCAGTGCTGTTATAGCCACTAAGTCGATGCTGTTATAGCCGCTAAGTCGGTGCTATTATAGCCGCTAAGTCAGTGCTGTTATAGCCACTAAGTTGGTGTCGTTATAGCCGCTAAGTCCGTGCTGTTATTGCCGTTATGCGGTACTGTTATTGCTGGATGCTATGATATATTATAAGCTGATGTTGTTAAGCTGGCTGATGTGCTGATAGCTGTAGCTGTTTTTCCTTCATATTTTTTATTTGTATATTGATTCTTTTCACTCCCTTACCCTTTGTTGTTTCCATGTGGTTTGGACTGCGATGATCATACTATGTATCGGAGCAGAGCAGGGTTAGGTTGGTATGTTGAGGAGGATCTGCAGCTGGCAGATGGAGTTGATTATTTTTATTATTTTTAGTTGTCTTGTATAGCATTGCTGGATGTATTTTGTAAACTCTGACTCTATCTAGATTTGGACCTTGTATATATATATATTCTAGACACTATATGTATATACTTGCTCTTTTCGGTGTAGTATTTCTGGTGTACTGTGCTGTGTGTAGGGACCAGTCGGGTCGTTACACTGTTACTAAGATATTTATTAATATATATATATATATATATATATATATATATATTCTAGACACCATATGTACTTGCTCTTTTCTGTGTAGTGTTTCTGGTGTACTGTGTTGTGTGTAGGGACCAGTCGGGTTGTTACACTTTAGTGGTATCAGAGCAGTTCGAGTCTAGTGGACACTCTGTGGGGGTGGTCCCTTTAGGCTTTTGTTGTGCTAGGCTCTGTGTTGTGTTGTTTTGCTGTGCTGATTTCTTGGTAGATTGTTGTGCTGTTGATTTTTGTTTGGTTTAGTTATTGTATACTGAAGATGCTGTTACTTTTGTAAGCAATGACTAGAACCAATGAGCAGATAGCCCGTGCCATGGAGATGATGGCTATGGCTATGCAGCAGCAAAATGCCTATTTTGCTCGGATGGACGCTGATAGAGCTGCAGCTGGTGCAGCAAGGCCCACGAGGTCAAATGAGAGCCGGGATCTAGCTGAGTTCCAAAAATGCCATCCTCCACAGTTCAAGGGAGATGCAGATCTAGAGGTAGCTGACCACTGGATTTGTGAGTTGGAGAAGATCTTCACTGTGTTGGGATGTTCTTGGGAGAGGAGGCTGGCATATGCTATGTACATGCTGGTTGGGGAGGCTGAGCATTGGTGAACTCACCATATGCTGACCGCTAGAGGAGTGGTTGTTGATTGGGAATGCTTCAGGAGGGTGTTCTTGGAGAAGTACTTCCCCGAGAGCGTGAGACATGCCAAGGAAGCTGAGTTCATGCGGTTGCACCTGGGAGGGATGACAGTTTCTGACTATGCGATGAGATTCGAGCACCTGACTCGTTTCTATTCGCAAGCTATTTCTAAGGCCTGGAAATGCAGGAAGTTTGCTGAGGGTCTAAAATATTAGCTGAAGAGGGTGGTGATGCCTATGGCTATCACTGAGTTTCCGACCTTAGTGAAGAAGGGGAAGGTTGTTGAGCGGTTGGAAGGTCGCAACCGTGTGACTAAGACTGCTGAGGGACCATCTGGGTCCAAGAGAGGAGGAAATCAGAAGAAGCCATATGATAGGCCCCAACCACAGCAAGGGGGTCCTGTCATTAGGCAACCTGTTGATGCTGCCAGAGGAGGGAGACAGGGTGGAGGTGCCACTCTTAGATGTTACAGGTGTGCTAGACCCCATTTGGTGAGGGATTGTCCACACACTAAGACCTGGTGTTTCAAGTGCCATCAGATGGGTCATGAGTCGACCCACTGTCCCACCAGAAATGGACCAGAGAGGGGTGATGCTCAGAAGAGTGGTGCTCAGAGGAGTGGTGCTCAGAGAGGCGATGCTCAAAGGGGTGACAGATCCACTACTACTGGCAGAGTATTCGCTTTGGCTGGGGCTGAAGCTTCTACTTACTCAGATCTTTTGAAGGGGAAGGGTAGAGCTGCTGGTAAGGATGTGATGATTCTTTTCGACTCTGGTGCTTCTCATTCGTTTATATCTTATGCTTGTGCTGCTATATTGGGTGTGCCGGTGTGTGATTTGGGGTTGAGACTGCTAGTGTCGACGCCCGCTTCTGCTTCGGTAGTTGCTTCTGAGTTGTGTGCTGGTTGTCCGATTGTTGTGAATGAGAAGAGGTATAAGGTGAACTTGATTTGTTTACCTTTGGTGGATATTGACATAATCTTGGGGATGGATTGGTTGTCCGCCAATCACATCCTTATAGATTGTGCCAATAGGAGGCTGATCTTTTCTTAGGTGGAGGAGGAGCTGTTGATTTCAGCTGGCCAAGATGAATCATTGTTGAGAGATGGAGCAGAGTGTTGTCTTCTGCTTGCTGCTATGAGTGTGGAGACCGAGAGGGTCATTGCTGAGATTGATGTGGTGAGGGATTTTGCTGAGGTGTTTCCTGATGAGGTACCTGGGTTGCCTCCTGTTAGAGAGATGGAGTTTAGCATTGACTTGGTTCCAGGTGCGGGGCCAGTGTCGGTGGCTCCCTATAGGATGGCCCCTGCTGAATTGGTTGAGCTTAAAGGTCAGTTGGAGGAACTATTGGAAAAGCAGTTGGTGGGCCGAGTGTTTCGCCGTGGGGTGCTCCTGTGTTATTGGTGAAGAAGAAAGATAGAGGTAGTCAACTTTGTGTGGATTACCGGCAGTTGAACAAGTTGACCATTAAGAACAAATATCCACTTCCTCGGATAGATGACTTAATGGATCAACTGAGGGGAGCATCTCCATTTTTTAAGATTGACTTGAGGTCAGGTTATCACTAGATCAGGGTGAAGGAGGGTGACATACCGACGACTGCTTTCAAGACTAGGTATGGTCAGTACGAGTATGTTGTGATGCCGTTTGGTGTGACCAACGCCCCGGCAGTGTTCATGGATTACATGAACAGGATTTTCCGGCCTTCTTGGATAAATTCGTTGTGGTGTTCATTGATGACATCTTGATTTATTCAAGGACCCCGGAGGAGCATGGAGAGCACTTGAGGTTGGTGCTGGAGATTTTGAAGGCGAAGCAGCTGTATGCTAAGCTTTCAAAATGTGAGTTTTGGTTAGACGAAGTGAAGTTCTTGGGACATGTGATCTTAGCTGAGGGGATTGCAGTTGATCCAGCTAAGGTAGAGTCGGTGTTGCAGTGGGAGCGTCCAAGAACTGTCACTGATATTTAGAGTTTTGTGGGTTTAGCGGGTTACTATCGAAGGTTCATTGAGGGATTCTCCAAGATAGTAGTGCCTCTAACCCAGTTGACAAGGAAGGAGCAGCCGTTCATTTGGACTGATGATTGTGAGCGGAGTTTTGAGGAGCTGAAGAGGAGGTTGACTACTTCTCCTATGCTGGTGTTGCCCGGTTCTGGTGAGCCTTTTGATGTGTACTGTGATACCTCTCACCAGGGTCTGGGGTGTGTGCTGATGCAGAACAGGAAAGTGGTGGCATATGCTTCAAGGCAACTGAAGAACCATGAGAGGAATTATCCCACTCATGACTTGGAGTTGGAAGCGATTATTTTTGCCTTGAAGATATGGAGACATTATCTGTATGGTGCTCGGTTCAGCGTCTTCAGTGATCACAAGAGTCTGAAGTACCTGTTTGATCAAAAGGAGTTGAACATGAGGCAGAGGTGGTGGATGGAGTTTCTGAAGGATTATGACTTCCAGTTGATGTATCATCCTGGGAAGGCCAATGTTGTCGCGGATGCGCTGAGTAAGAAATCCATCCACATGTCTAGTATGATGGTGAAAGAGCTGGAGCTGGTGGAGAAGTTCAGAGATCTGAATCTTTGTGTGGAGTTAGCTCAGGATTACATTAGTTGTGGAATGCTTACCATAACTAGTGAGTTCTTGAGGCAAGTTGGATAGAAGCAGTTACTAGATGTTGAGCTGGTGAAGCTTCTTGGTTTGCTGGGTACCGAGAAGGCTGTTGGTTTTGAGCTAGGCAGAGATGGAATCTTGAGGTTCAAGGGAAGAATTTGCCTACCTCATGATGCAGAGCTGAAGAGAGCTGTGTTGGAGGAAGGCCACAAGAGCAAACTTAGCATACATCCTGGTATGACTAAGATGTACCAAGACCTCAAGAAGACTTTCTGGTGGTCTGGTATGAAGAGGGAGATAGCTGAATATGTGGCGGCCTGTCTAACCTGTCAGAAGGCGAAGGTAGAGCATCAGAAGCCGAGTGGGTTGATGCAGCAGATGGAGATTCCGAAATGGAAGTGGGATAATATCACTATGGACTTTATCGTCGGGTTGCCTAGGTCGGCTAGGAATAGTGATGCTATCTGGGTGATTTTTGATCGGTTGACCAAGTGTGCACATTTCTTGCCTATCAACATCAAGTGGTCCTTGGAGAAGTTGACGTAGTTGTATGTGAGGGAAATAGTACGGTTGCACGAGGTGCCTTCTAGTATTATTTTAGACAGAGATCCGAGGTTCACTTTCAGATTTGGGCAAAGTCTACACCAAGCCTTAGGCACGAGGTTGAAGCTGAGTTCTGCTTATCATCCGCAGACAGATGGTCAGTCAGAGAGGACAATCCAGTCCTTGGAGGATCTGCTGAGGGCTTGTGTGTTAGACCACTTGGGAAGCTGGGAGGAGGTCCTACCGCTGGTGGAGTTCACTTACAATAATAGCTTTGATGCTAGTATTGGGATGGCGCCGTTTGAAGCCTTGTATGGTAGGAGATGTAGGACTCCTCTGTGCTGGTATCAAGATAGTGAGTCAGTGGTTGTGGGACCGGAGCTGATCCTACAGACTATTGAGAAGGTGAAGATGATTCAGGAGAGGATGAAGACTGCTCAGAGTAGGTAGAAATCATATGCTGATAAAAGGCGTAAGCCTTTGGAGTTTGCTGAAGGGGAACATGTGTTTCTGAAGGTGACCCCGACTTCTGGTGTGGGTAGAGCGCTAAAGGCAAGGAAGTTGACACCGAGGTTTGTTGGTCCCTATCAGATAATACAGCGTGTGGGTCCGGTTGTTTATCGGTTGGCTTTGCCACCGTCTCTTTCAAACCTACACAATGTATTTCATGTATCCCAGCTGAGGAAGTATGTTCATGATCCTGGTCATGTGGTGGAGCTGGATGATGTGCGGGTGAAGGAGAATCTGACGTTTGAGAAGTTGCTGGTAACAGTGGTGGATCATAAGTTGAAGGAGCTGAGGGGCAAGACCATTGCTCTGGTGAAGGTGTTGTGGGATGCAGCTACGGGTGAGGCTACTTGGGAGGTAGAGCAGCAGTGCAGGGAGCGGTATTCGTGTTTATTCCCAAGTAAGTCTACTTTTGGGGACGAAAATTCCTGTTGTTGGGGAGGTTGTGAGACCCCTTTCCCCTTTTCTTTCTTTCCCGAACTCTTTTTCACTCTCTACTCACGCAAACTCTCTCATTTCTCAACTCTCACTCACTTTGCCTTGGGTTCCTGGTGCATTTCTCTGATTGTGGTGGCTGTGGTGTTTTAGGTGCGGATTGTGGTGTTGGAAGCTAGTGAAGTCTCCTTCTCCGTTCTGATTCTCCACTCGTTCTTCTTCTCCTTTTCTTCTCCGTTGAGCTTGTCTCCTTCCCGGAAGCTCGGATCTTCGTACCTAGGTAAGGGAAGCTAGTTTTTGGCTGTGTTGTGTGGAAATTGAGGGTGGAAACTCCTTCGTGGGCTGATGAGTTGTTGATTTTGGGTTGAGATTGAAGAAAATTCGTTTTTAGGTTTTCCAGGGTTTGGGTGAAAATTTGGGGTTTTTATTGATTTTTGGTTGCATGTGTGAAAAGATGATGTTTTTGAGCTGGTTGGAGAAAATGTGGCATTTTGGTTGGTTTGCATGTGTTAGAAATGTGGATTTTTGCAGGTTTTGGGCAAGATTTTCGAACTTGGTGAGTTGCTGCTGGGTATCACGCCGGGCACCGTTCTTTGCACCGGGCGCGTGACCATCAGAGGGCTCCATTTGGGCAAGCCCGCCGGGCGCAAAGGTGTGTGCGCCGGGCAAGCTTGAGAATGTGAGCCTCTGGATGGCCCACGCCAGGCGTGACTTGGACTGCACCTGGCGCTCTATCAATAAGTGACGTGTTTTGGGTTTTCTGGTGCTGCGCCGGGCGCTACCATGTCACGCTGGGCGTGGAGATTCCTTGGGAGTCTCTGCCAAGGGGGCGCTGAGCGCAATTGGAATTGCGTCGGGCGCGAGACCTTGCGGAGGTCTCTGCCTTCCCTACGCCGGGCGCGGGTTTGGGCACGCCGGGCGCGTGAGACTCCTTAGAGTCTCTGCCTGGGTTGCAATGGGCGCAATTGGTATTGCGCCAGGCGCGTGTGAGCCTTTGGCTCTCTGGCTGGGTCACGCCGGGCGCGGGAACTCTTCTATCGGGCGCGCTGGCCCTTGGTGCTCTCTGGTTGTGTCGCGTCGGGCACGACCAAGAGTGCGCCGGGCGCGGAGGTGATGTTTAACTATATGCTGTTAGATGTTGTGAAATGCTGATAAATGTTATTTTTTGCTTAGCTGAGCTGTAATTGATGGATATGCTGTGCTGACTAGTTGATAATGCTGAATTATGATGTTGAGCTGTGTTTGAGGTATATTGCTGAGCTGTGTTGTGCTGTGAGCTGTCATTGCTGTTAAGCTGTGCTGTGCTGAATGTTATTTATGTTGATGTATGCTGTTATAGCCGCTAAGTCGGTGTTATTATAGCCGCTAAGTCGGTGCTGTTATAGCCGCTAAGTCGGTGCCGTTATAGCCGCTAAGTCAATGCTGTTATTGCCGCTATGCGGTGCTGTTATTGCTGAATGTTGTGATATATTATAAGCTGATGTTGTTAAGCTGGCTGATGTGTTGATAGCCGTAGCTATTTATCATTCATATTTTATATATGTATGTTAATTCTTTTCACTAGCTTACCCTTTGTTGTTTCCATGTGGTTTGGATTGCGATGATCATACTATGTATGGGAGCAGCGCAAGGTTAGGTTGGTATGCTGAGGAGGATCTGCAGCTGGCAGATGGAGTTGATTATTTTTATTGTTTTTAGTTGTCTTGTATAGCATTGCTGGATGTATTTTGTACACTTTGACTCTATCTAGATTTGGACCTTGTATATATATATATTCTAGACACTATATGTATATACTTGCTCTTTTCGGTGTAGTATTTCTGGTGTACTGTGCTGTGTGTAGGGACCAGTCGGGTCGTTACACTGTTACTAAGATAAATAGCGACCAATTTTAACAATTTAGCGACTGATTTTGGTAGTCGCTAAATGATATATTTTTTGTAGTGGTATTAACTCAGGTATAGTAAGGGGTGTGAACTTACCACAATATTAGGTATGAATAGACCAAGTCCTCAATGGAATTAGCCTATCACCTTTTCTCTAAATACCATGCACCTTTCCTGTGCACTAGGTTAGGAACTATCATTAATTTCCAACATACATGCCAACTTACAGCCACTTATATCAAGTATGGATTGACTTCACCATACCGTTTTCAACAAAACATTTTGAGGAGACATTTAAAAAAAAATAAAAATCTAGCTTCCAAAATCAACTTTCTTATTGAAGAATTTTGATATTGAGTTTTAAGATCTACAACTCAAGTCCACCATGTGATATCTTATACCATTCAAAACATTTTTTAAAACTTGCTTTCAGCTAAATCTAACTTTTTCTTTAAAAGACTTTCTTAAAACATGCATTTCCATATTATTCCAACACCTCGGAACTCCATTTCCTTATGTTGAGATTCAAAAGCCAACAAGGAGAAAAACCATTTCTCCTTCACAGATCCAATGATCAATTGGGTATTACAAAATGACTCTCTTTGAATAGTAGATATTACACTTTCTAAGAACTTGATGAACTCTTTAGATATTTTTGCAAATGATTTTGGCCAAGTAGTTTTTGTAAATAGATTTTCACATTAGAGTTCGTAACCTATTTCTGAAAAATTATAGGTATTTATAGACAATTAATTCTTAGGTTATGTCTTTTCATGAAGAGTTGTAACTCTCTATAATTTTTTTCAGAAAAGAGGCTCTGGTAATCGATTACAAGACTAGTAATCGATTACAACGGTTTAAGTTCAAAATGTTTGAAACGTTGTATCATTTAAAGTCAAATTTTGAAGTTTCATCTTCTGGTAATCGATTACAATGACTAGTAATTGATTACCAGAGAACATTTTAACATTTGAACCTTGAACAAAGAAGTTTTCTTTCTCTGGTAATCGATTACATCAAGTGGTAATCGATTACCAGACAGATATCACTGAATTAGCTTATGAAAACTTAAGATATAGAATACTCTATTTTCCAATTAAAAATATTTTTGTTTAATCTTTTGAATACTCTTTTTGCTTTCTTTTCAAACAACTTATTCTTATATTCAAAAAGATTAAGTTTAGGTTTTCTTGAAATCCTTATTTTAGTGGCCAAGTGAAATTTACAAATTTTAAAAGTTCATTTTACATACTAAGCTAAGCAGTCAAGACTTATCTAGTTATTACTTGAGATCTTGTTTCTTGATCAACTTGCTTTAACTTGACCTTTATTTTCTTCAATGCTTTGGCATCATCAAAACTTTGTGCATATTTTCTTCCACACAAGTATTGTAAGAGTTACAAGAATAGTGGAAATCTTAAGCTAGAGACTTGAGGACTGGACGTAGGTAGGATTGGCCGAACCAGTATAAAACAAGTTTGCAATTCTTCTTTCCCTACACTTTTAATTATTTGTTTTTTAATTGTGTTTGAGTAGTTTGCATCATCATTCTTTACATACAAATTTGTCTAAGCAATTAAATTTATAAGAAAGTAATTGGAAAAACTTTTATAAGAGAAAAATTTAGAAAACTTAATTCACCCCCCTCTTAAGTTATACGAGACTATTTGACTAACAGAGTTAAGCCTTAGTTTACTTTCTTAAGATAACATAACACATTAGAGCCAATAACTAACCTATCTACCTCATTTAGAAAGAACAATTACAAATTCAATTTTATATTGGTTCGGCCAATCCTGCCTACGTCCAGTCCTCAAGTCTCCCACTTGAGATTTCCACTATTCTTGTAAACCTTACAAGACTTGAATCCTCCAACACCTCGGAACTCCATTTCCTTATGTTGAGATTCAAAAGCCAACAAGGAGAAAAACCATTTCTCCTTCACAGATCCAATGATCAATTGGGTATTACAAAATGACTCTCTTTGAATAGTAGATATTACACTTTCTAAGAACTTGATGAACTCTTTAGATATTTTTGCAAATGATTTTGGCCAAGTAGTTTTTGTAAATAGATTTTCACATTAGAGTTCGTAACCTATTTCTGAAAAATTATAGGTATTTATAGACAATTAATTCTTAGGTTATGTCTTTTCATGAAGAGTTGTAACTCTCTATAATTTTTTTCAGAAAAGAGGCTCTGGTAATCGATTACAAGACTAGTAATCGATTACAACGGTTTAAGTTCAAAATGTTTGAAACGTTGTATCATTTAAAGTCAAATTTTGAAGTTTCATCTTCTGGTAATCGATTACAATGACTAGTAATTGATTACCAGAGAACATTTTAACATTTGAACCTTGAACAAAGAAGTTTTCTTTCTCTGGTAATCGATTACATCAAGTGGTAATCGATTACCAGACAGATATCACTGAATTAGCTTATGAAAACTTAAGATATAGAATACTCTATTTTCCAATTAAAAATATTTTTGTTTAATCTTTTGAATACTCTTTTTGCTTTCTTTTCAAACAACTTATTCTTATATTCAAAAAGATTAAGTTTAGGTTTTCTTGAAATCCTTATTTTAGTGGCCAAGTGAAATTTACAAATTTTAAAAGTTCATTTTACATACTAAGCTAAGCAGTCAAGACTTATCTAGTTATTACTTGAGATCTTGTTTCTTGATCAACTTGCTTTAACTTGACCTTTATTTTCTTCAATGCTTTGGCATCATCAAAACTTTGTGCATATTTTCTTCCACACAAGTATTGTAAGAGTTACAAGAATAGTGGAAATCTTAAGCTAGAGACTTGAGGACTGGACGTAGGTAGGATTGGCCGAACCAGTATAAAACAAGTTTGCAATTCTTCTTTCCATCAATCATCAATAAAATTATGTATTAATCATGATAATCTTATACCCAGGTGGTCATATTAACATTCAATTTCAGGATTTCCCTGTAACACAGGTAGTCATCGCCATCTACCGTTATTACTCCAGTCCATAAGTCTACATAGACGTCTACCCAATCTGAAGACATCAACAGTTTCAGTCATTACTGCTCATTTTGCGGAAGTGTACTATTCACTGTAGTTCACTGTAGCGGAAAATTTCATTTTACTGTTGAAATAGTAATCACTGTTGTAATAGTAAATTTAGTTTTCCTATTTATACCAATCTCTGCCCATGATGCGAGGCAGAACTTGTAAGTGAGAAACACCTTCGTGTAAGAGAGCCTAGAGTGAGAAGCTCCTCCTTCTCTCTTGCCTTTATATTTCTTATTCAATCAATACAACTCTTTTGTATTAAATCTTTGTTCTTTCTTGCATTACATATCATAAAGTTTGTGAAAACTTGGGATTTGTAAGCCTGACTCGTCAGGTGTGCCCTTGATACCCAGTATTGTGCAGACTACCGCCGTGTAAATCTGGTTTACTACTGCATCTGCACATTCCTTCTTCCCGCACCGGTGTCCATATACCAATCTGACTGGTTTGAGGTGTCTACCGAGCAGCTGGCAACAAATGCCTGAGCCAAATTAGCAGACTCAGAAGACCGGTCCCAGCGAACATGACATTTTTTAGCATAATGACCCTGTTCACGACAAATCTGACATCGAGGGACATAAGTGTTGCGACGACCAGAGTTGTTGCGACGTTGACGAGAACCACC